TTTTTGAAGAACTACTTTTAGCTTTGTTACAGATTTCCCAACCTAGCGAAGGATGAAACAGCGTTCGATGCATCAAATGCTTACAGCAATTTCGAACCTCTTATTGCGTCCAATTGCTCTTCGCAACTAAAATTTTTTTTGTGCTCAGTATACTTTCCGATGTGTACGGACAAGGTAGGTACATTCTGTTGCCCATTTCTTTTTTTGCCACCTTAAGAACCAGTTTTGGTGGTTCAGTGTTGACTATTTTTTTTCGACGAGTTCCACAAATTACGATTCTATTTGTTGGTTGTTATATTCTGTTAGTGCTTCTATGATATCCTTTGCGACTTGCAGTATACGTTTTTCACGCTCTTTTTCAGTCGGCATCTCAGATTCTTTGTAAACGTTAGAGCGACTTTGTTCAACCGATTCAAAAAACTAAAAAAATTAAATCGAAAAAGTGAATTCTCATTTACATTAAAATACAGAAATATCTTGGCTTTCCGCGAGACTGGACCCAGTATTGTAACAAGTACCTTCACAGCTTATAGATACGGCTTGATAGTTTTATTTTCGTGTAAAAAACCGAATCTTGTAAATTCCATATAATATACTGTTTATACAGTTTTGCAGCAGCTGCACCTCAATGGTAGAAAACTACTTCGGAAGCCGTGCTTTTTCTGAAGCTAACTAGACGAGGTAGGAGAAAACTGGGAACAACAGAAAATGAAAAGTATACAGTAACTCTAAAAGATAAAAAAAAAAGTATGTCTATCTGTGCGACAAAGTTTCTCAACTAATGAAAAGGGAAGTTATATATAAACAATCTCTGTTATCGGGACCACTGACTAGTATGGAAAAAGTAAGAAACATTCCAATAGGGAAAATTTGGTTTTATGACTTATTAGGCTGTGAAATACTATTTTGAAGTGTTTTGTGCTTTTCAAAAAATGCTTGTTGATTACAGCTCACATTTCTTAAATTTATCAACACTTTGGAAAATTTGTGCTACTCTTTTTCTGTAAGTTTCGAGGTACCGCACGTGTCTTCAAAAAAATCGAGCCACTTAACACATTTAAAACTTGTTTTTGCTAAATTAAGGTGCAGAAAAGATATTATCGGACTGAATAAGAAGCTCTCGTATCAAACACAAAAATTTGTAAAACGTCATAATTTGTTATTATGAAGGTTTCATTAAGAAGCTGTAATGTATCTTTACCTTTACAACTCTAAAAACAAACAGACCAATCGTTTTAGCAACGATCAGGATACTTTTCATATAAAGGCTCAAAATAGTTCGCAATTCACCATTTTTTTCGAAGACCCTCAGAACACAGTTTTGACTTTTTAAAAAAGGGCGTTTTTTTTTGCGGGACAGTTAGAGATAAGCTTCACCGCTGCCCTGCAGACAGGAATTTTCTGTTCCTTGCAGGTACACTTTAAAAAAAACAACAAAAAGCAGTACAGAAGGAAATACATCTTCACTAATGAAAAAAATTTTTTTTTCAAAGGATATCATACAGGCACTAATTTGAAGAATATGGCCAAAAGTTTTTGGACCTTGTCAATGTATCTTTTCCCCAATCCTACACCAAAAAATAAAAATCATAGCTCGTAAGTCGCATCTGCATTGTGCAATATGGCTTCAGGCGCAAATGCAAAATCTTATCTTCTCTAGCTAATTCATAAACATTTTTTCAAATATGTTATTTACGGCCTTTGACAGCGAGAAATACTGCCAAATTAGTGTTTTACTCCTTCTTCTTTGCCACTATTGCTTTCAAACAGTTTTTAGAAAATTTCACTCTTCCGTGATAGACAACTTTTAAGCTTTTTTTTTT